CTCACCCGTGATCAGCACCGTCTTGCCCCGCAGGCTGGTCTCGTTCTTGCACGTGGCCCCTTTGATGAAGTTGTAATAGAGCAAGGCGTAGAGGCCCAGCGCCACCGCCAGACCCGCCAGCGCCTCCGCGGCGGCCATCGCGCACTGCTTGCGCCCGGAGCGCAAAAGGGAGGAGGAGGGGGGCGCCAGCCGCCTAGGCGCGCATCTTGCGCCCGCGATCCTCGCACTGCTGTTCGCAGGAGACAGATTCCCAGCAGGCAGACGGGCCCCGGATCCTTCCTCTTTCTCCCGCGGACCCGTGCGCAAGGCTGCGCGCCTGCCGCCCCTTGCGCTCCAAGGCGTGCCAAGAACGCTTGCAGAGATGCGCGTCACGGTCAGCGGTATCCCGGACCGTGGGGGGAGTCAGAGCTCCGCCCCATAGCAAAGTCCGTGTCCCTGGCCCCGCCCCACCAGGAGGGTCCAAAGATCCAGGCCGCTGCTCCTGATGCTCCTCCTCCTCGGGAGGCGGGTTCTCAGCAGCCAGGCGCGCCCCGGATCCCTCCTCCGCTCCTCCCCTCGCGGGCCCTTGCGCAAAGCTGCGCGCTCCTGGAGACGCGCTGCAACCAGAGGACCAGCCATCTCTCTTTGACGGCCAGCGGGAGCAGAGATGGGGAACACCTGTGACCTTGCAGATGCTGTCGGACTCCAGTTCCCTTCATCCTTGTCCCTGGACCAGGGAGAGCGCCTCAGATTTCCTCCTCGCGGGGTTTGCAGCCATCCGCCCACGTCTTCTGGGAAGCCCAGTTGCCAAAGCTGTTTGGCAAATCACTGTTTGGCAACAGAAGGCCAGATGTGGGGCTGAGGCCCCCAGCTGCGGATGTCTGCCTCCTTCAGCCGAGACCTTTTCTGCCCTTTTCTGCCACGGGAGCGATTCCCTTTTGCCTCTCAGGCCAAACAGGTGCTGTCAAGAGAGCTCTTTTCCACGCGGGACAGCGGCTCCAGCAGCCGCATCGTGAACTTCCAAGAGCCTCACCTGAACACGGAGAACTTGTATCTTTGCACGTGGCTGCGCCTGGAGAGTCTTGTTTGTGCGTGATCAATGCGTGCGCCCCTAGCATCTCTAGAAGGGGACACCTGTCCCAAGGATGGTACAGAGCTCAAGCCAGGCTTTGCGACCAACTCTGCAGTTCTCTTGCAGACTCACCACAGAACAACTCAGGCCCTCCTGCCATAGAAAAGCCTATCTCAAGTTGAGAGTATTTGCTGCCGTTTCTACGGGGATATACGCTCGGTGTTTATCACTCCTGTTATACAAAAATCTCCAAATGGGACTTCAGTGTCTAAAACTCCTGGTAGAGGACAAGGATCTAGAGATCTCGCTCAGGGTGGCCAAATTCTGTGCGACTGCCATAAATCTTAGGGAACAAGCTGTACTACCAAAATGATTAAGGTTTTAAACGACAATTTTAGGTTATATTTTAATGATCAATATTTAATACATATTTTTAACTGCCACTATATCTGAATTGTCTCTGTTATACCCAATTGCAATCCAATGTATTCCTGTCGTGTTTTATGATTTTTCTGATATTGTGAGTGAGCCGGAACTGGTCTGTGACCGTAATAATAAAATTCAAAGTATTTGCTCTGCTTGCAGAAGGTCCCAGCTTCCATATCCAGACAAGGCTGGCAAAGGACCCCCCACCCCATCTGAAACCCTGCCAGTCAGCGTGGACAGAGCTGAGTTTGATGGAGCAATGGTTTAACGTGGTATAAGGCAGTGTTCCTATTTAAGCCGGCCCTTTGTTTCATGACTAGAAATCTTACTCTATTTTTTAGGGAAATTGCCCTAGGGAGCTCAGTGGTGGGACACCTGCTTTGCATGCAGGAGGTGTCAGATTTGAAACCCTGGAATTGCAAAGATGCAAAGGCACCCGACTCCTTAAAAACGGGAAACCCTGGAAGGCTGTCAGAGGCGCATTTAGGGAAGTACAACCAGTTTGTCCACACTGGATGCTGAGCTGAGAGGACACCACAATGACAAACAACAGAAGGGGGGGGGAGAGCAGATTTTGGCGTTGCACATGGAAATTTTAAAGCACAAAGCCCGCCACTGAGGCTGCTGCCAGTCAGTATAGACCAGGGTTTCCCAAGCGTGGGTCTCCAGCTGCTTTTTGGACTACAACTTCCATCATCCCTCACTAGCAGGACCAGTGGTCAGGGATGATGGGATGAAGACCCAAGTCTGGGAAACCCTGGGGTTGCAGTGATGCGCTAGGTAAGACCGAGGATCGGACTTTGCATCAAGGCAAGGATGGTCCATCTAGCTTATGGGTAGGCAAACTAAAGCCCAGGGGCTGGATCCGGCCCAATCGCCTTCTAAATCCGGCCAGCGGACGGTCCAGGGAATCAGTGTGTTTTTACTTGAGTAGAATGTGCCCTTTTATTTAAAATGCATCTGGGTTACCGGTATTTGTGGTGTCTGCCTGGTGTTTTTACATGAGTAGAATGTGTGCTTTTATTTAAAATGCAGCTCTGCATTTGTGGGGCATAATAATTTGTTCATTCCCCCCCCCCAAATAGTCTGGCCTCCCACAAGGTCTGAGAGACAGTGGACCGGCCCCCTGCTGAAAATGTTTGCTGACCCCTGGAGCCAGCCAGCCAGCCTGTTCCCCTTCAGTATTTTATCTCAACAACGGAGCTGTTCTGATCTGGCAAAGGCTCTTGGAAAAGTGGACACGGAGGGAAACGGGTCGCAACTGGCTTTTAGAATAGTAGCGTTGGAAGGGACCCCAAGGATCACCCAAACCCAACCTTCTGCAAGGCACCAGGAAGCTCCCCAAAGCTCTTTAGGCCAGCCTAAACAAAATATGAGGGGTCTAGGAACTCCGGTGGAAGCCTTGCTTTAAACCAGGTTTGGAGAACAGTTGGCCCTTCAGATGCTGCTGAAATGTCTGTCAGCCCCAGCATTGCAAGCATGGCCAATGACTAGAGGTGATGGGAGTTGTAGTTCAGCACCATCTGAAGGGCCAAAGGTTCCCCGCATCTGGTTTAAGCCAAGGCCCTGGGACCCTCACGTTCCACCAGATGGCTTCCCAACTCCCATCATGCCTGGCTCTTGGGCATCCCTGACTCTAAGGCTCATGGGAGTTGGAGGCACCATCCCTGAAATCATTCCCCAGGGAAATTGAAGTTGTGCAACTGGTTTTCCTCCTTGCTCTGCCCTCCCCTCCCTCTCCTTTGTTTCACTTCTTGTTGCCAACATTTAGATTAAGTTCTCGAGGACAGAAACTTGTCTTTCGCAAAAGAAAATTTGTTTGCAAAGTACACCATGCCTTTGTTGAGAAATTTTAAGTTAGCTTGCTTTTTCCACCTTTGATTTTATCAGTATTTTTAAAAAGGACATTGTGTGATCCAACGTTAAACTTGATTAGAAGTTATGAATGATCGAAGAGGTATTATAAATGCAGTTAAATATACAGCGATAGTGACTGAGGCTGGCTGCTGCAATCTAGACACCCCTTAGATAAGCAGAGCATCTCAACTCAACAGGGAATGCTGGAATTGAAGATGTTATTGGTGAGGGTGGAAAGTTATTTAACCGATTTCTGCTGAAGAATGAACAGGCGGCTGGCCAACAGGGGAAGTTCAGCTGACCAACAAATGCAGGAACCTTCTGAAGAATTTGACCCCTGTTCTCAGCTGGTGGGCTTAAAAAGCAGTGGTTCTCCAGGGCAGGAGAAAACCCACAGGTTGCTGGATTAGACAAAATCATGGAGGAGGGCTTTCCATTGGGGCATCTTGGCCACTGTGAGAACAGGATGCTGGCCTAGATGGTCCATTGGCCTGATCCAGCAGGCTTCTTCTTCCAGGACAGAATCCAGCAACATGTGGAGAGCAGCAGATGTTCCCCATCGCTGCCGGCAGCTTTGGGAAGGCCACAGACTGAACCAGCCGTCTACTCCATGAAAAGCATGAGTTCTTAGGGGGAAGAGAGGAAGTGTCTGGTGCCCATGATGGTGAGAGACGGGCGAGGCAGGAAACTCAACGGCAGAGCCAATTCATTCCAATTTGGCCTCTGCCCTCTATTTCTCAAGGGGCAATATCAAGACTTAGGAGGTGGAAGCACCACCCACCCCACCGGCTGGTTCAAAGGAAGGTAGCAGGCAGGTGGGGCAGGCTGAGGGAGGGGGGCCCAGTGCCCCACAAGTCCTAATGCAATTCCAGGGGCTGGGTGATCCTTTGGATCACTTCCAACTCTCTTGCTCCATGACCGGCTGCCTCCGCTAGTGGGAGGGAGGAGAGAGACCTGGCTTCCCAGCGAAGGAGCCCGTCTCCATCTAGGAAGGGAACGTGGGCGATGACAAGAATGAGAGCAAAGGAATTATTTTTAAAAGAATTGGCACGGCTTGGCACAGCCCCATGATTTTTAAATAGTAGTATGTGAGTTTATTAATACAGACTTAATGCCATTGGAACAGTCATGAAATCTTTTCAGTTTCATACAAAAAAAAAAAAAAGTTAAGATTTTTTTCCAGATCCAAAAACCCCCCCAAGCATTTAAAACATTTTAAAGAACTCAGCAGATCTCATCTCCAGGATGGAGTGAGTCGAGGCCAACCAGCGGGAATAATTTTCTCCCCCCCCATAACCCCCCCCCCAATATAGCCTCTGGGTGCCAGAGGTGCTGTTTTTGTTCCACAATGCCCTACAAGTATATACCCTGTTGTGGGGGGGAGGAGGGGAGGGGCACCTTAAGTTGGCACCCTGTGCACAACCAGGAACGGGGAGAGTCCTCAGATCCCACTTTTGGCTGAATCTTCACACGGTGAAGGAGAAGCGGTTAGCTTCCGTCTGACAGCGCGGGCGCAAAAGGAGGCCCACCTTGTGACCCGGGGGTGGGGGGTGGGAAGGAAGGAAACCCCCCCACAGGGACATTTGCCTACAGGAACCCCCAAAAGCTGACGGAACTTTTCTTGCTGATGGCAGGGAATTTCCAGAGACAGGCAGACAGCGACGAGTGCCATAGTTTTTGTTTTATATACAGAATACAGGAGAGAGGAAAAAAAGTTTCCGTAAAGCCTAAAACATAGCAATTTACTTCTGTACATCAGAACTTAGCTGCAGGGTGGGGGGTGGGAAGGAAGTTTCTGGAACGAAAGGGAGGGAAAAGGAGGCTTACGACAAAGAAACGCTTTGCTACAATTAAGACAACTGGAGGAAAAACGTCATAACCCACACGTACACAGCTTAAAAAACACAGTGGGGGGGTGGGCGGGGGGAGAGAAAAACGCTGTCAGTGGATGTATTTACACAGAACCCCAAATACTTCTCCATCATCTAAAAGGGGGGCGGGAACAAAACAGGGTGGGCAGCAGGAAATCGGAACTCGCTTCCTGCCACACACACAATACGCAGAATTGCAACTGCAGCAGGAAGGGGAAGAGAAGGGGGGGGGGCACAGGAGGTTGGAAAGGGCGGGGGGAAGAAAATAAATCTGGCAGGACGAAAGCGCACCTTTACATTAAATAAAACAATGATAATTGAATAGATTTTTGCTGTATGAAAACTGTATTTCTCTTTTTCTCTTTAATATAAAAACTATTGTCACTGGCACAAAATAGAACAGGTTTTTTTGGGATTATTTTACAACTGCAAAGGGGAGCAGGCTTGCCTGGGGGGCAATGTCAACGACCCCCTCCCCTCCCGGCTCCCTCTCGCCGGCTCTGCCCCAGCACGGCCTCCCAACACGCTGCAGTTAATTCCTTTCCTTTTCTTTTTTTTAAATGAAATGTATAGTACAAATATATGTGCAAATGCCCCTAAAAACTTGAGCAAACAATAATAATAATAATATTATTAATAATAAAAATTAAAAGTTCTTCATCTCATGCAAAGGGCGTCAACAGTCTGTGGCCCACATTGAGGATTGGGAATCCAGACAAGACATGGTTCGTGTACATCAAAGGGAATCCTGTGCACAATGTGTCTGTGAGAGTGTCTCTCGATCTTGGGAGGGAGGACTTATTGTTCCTTGTCCAACCCCTCCCTCCCTCGGTCGCTGCCTCCTCCTAGGGCACTGAATTGGAGCGCAGCACAGGGACCTGCTGGGCCTTTGGGGACAGCTTCTCCTCCAAGTCCCTCTCTTGTGCTAAGGCCGCGGCGGCATCTCCTCCCCTGGGCTGTTTGGTCGCAAACTCCGTGATGCTGAAGACAAACTGCAGGCAGCCCAGCTTGATGTAGCTGCCGTGGTGCAGGAGGGCCGTCCCCTCCCAGCCGGCCCCGCTGCCCCCAATGAGGCTGGAGCTGCTGGCTTTGCAGTTGCAGGGCTTGGGGGACGGGCCCTGGGCCTGGGACCGCATCACCGCAGCCTCTTCGCTCGGGGGCTGCTCCTCCTCAGGGGGCGGCGGCTGCAGCTGCTGCTGCTGCTGCTTTCGGCTCTTGTGTCGCTCTGGAATACAGGAAGAGAGGCACAGTGGGCAAAGGTGGAAAGGGGCGTGTGAGAGACTGAAAATAAAACTGCCGGCGCCATAATGCCGTTACACAAACATGTGGTGTGATCGCCTTGGGAATCCTGTGCACAATCCTGGGCGCCTTGCTTCAAAAAGGGGCTGAACCTCCCATCCCCCTCACTCCTCAATATCTGATTTAACCATCCCTCTGCGATCTGATTTTTAAGCAGAGCAATGTCCATACACTCACACCAGTGCAGCCATCTAAGGACTAGAGCCAGCGTGGTGTAGTGGTTAAGAGCGATAGACTCGTAATCTGGTGAACCGGGTTCGCTTCCCTGCTCTTCCACATGCAGCTGCTGGGTGACCTTGGGCCAGTCACACTTCTCTGAAGTCTCTCAGCCTCACTCACCTCACAGAGTATTTGTTGTGGGGCAGGAAGGGAAAGGAGAATGTTAGCCGCTTTGAGACTCCTTCGGGTAGTGATAAAACGGGATATCAAATCCAAACTCTTCTTCCTCAACCTCGGTCCTCCAGATGCTTTTGGCCTACAACTCCCACGATCCCTAGCTAGCAGGACCAGTGGTCAGGGATGATGGGAATTGTAGTCTCGAAGCATCTGGAGGGCCTAGGTTGAGGAAGCCTGGATTAGAAGCAATGCTTGCATAAAACAGAGAGAGAAACACACGCAGAGTGGGGCTCTCCTGCCTAGGCCAGTTGCCCTTGTGTAGGATTCTGGTGTTGCTTTGTGTCTGGTGCTCAGGAGAGGCTGCAAACTTACTGATCACACTCTGTACTTTGGCAACCATGCTGCTGGCCGGGACGAGCGCCGTCTTCTCGGAGAAGTCGCAGGAATACAGGACATTGTCCACCGTTGTGCCGTGCTCGCTGTAGTTGAGCAGTTCGTAGTGCTTGGTGTTCTGGGGCAGAGGGAAAGGGAGACAGAGTCACACCCTGGACGGGAAGTGTTGGTGGCAAGGGTGCCCAGAAGACTGCTTCCTCTCTTTCTCTCTCCAAATCTACCTGCCTCCAAATCAAGCCACTCTCCCGGGCTGCAGCATTGCGCGACTCACCTCGTCGTAGAAGATGCAGGCGTGCTTGCCCGAGACGTAGTTGCAGTGACCGTAGTTTGTAAGGCACACGTCCATGTCAGCTCCTGCGCAAAGGAAGGAGGGAGACAGAAACTCTCTTGAGCATCGGCAGCTCGGATGCAGCCAGACCTCCACCAAAAGCCACAGGAAGCAGGAAAGGACCACAACAGAAGTTGAGATGAAAGCACACCCACTCCCAGAAGGCTCAGGGTTCCCCCCCACCCACCCCAGTTACTAGCTTCCGGTGAGAGCAGCTGCAGCAACTTGCAAGCGGACCCCGCTTCCCCAGCCAATTTGGCAGCCAGGAGGCTGCTGAGCACATACGTAGCTGCTCCCCTCCCTTGGCGGGAGGCGAGCTAGTCCCCCAGTGAGTTAGCCCTTGCCTGTCCCAATGTAGAGGGTCCTGTAGCACATGTTCACCGCACTGCCCATCCCCAGCAGAGGGTAGAAGACGGCTCGGGCCTGCACCTCCTTCCTCTGCCCTGGAAGACAGAAAGACGGAATTCATCGAATTGAAGAGTTGGAAGGGATCCCCCAAGGGATTCACAGCTAAAGAATCCCTGACAGGTGGTCTCAAGAACGAAGCGCTGCCAAGAGCAGAGAAGCCCCCTGGATTTGAACACACCCATGCACCCCCCCCAAAAAAACCTCCACCAGCCATGTTCATGCCATTTTTCATTTTCACTTGAGGCCCATAACCAAAGGGGGAGGAGAGGCAGAGTGAAGGCTGTCATTTGCCTTCTCACTCCCCATCCCACCTAGGCACATCTTTTGGCCAATGCTTCTTGAACAAAGCACCGCAGGGCCTGGGTCAGCACCTGAGCAGGTGTGTCACCAAAAGCGAGGCAGCGAGAAGGCATCTGTGCTCCCAATGCCAGTGGGAAGGAGGTCCCAGGTTCAAATCCTGGGCAAAGGGCAGCAGGGGGCTCCCAGAGACCTTGGAGAGCTGCTGCCAGGCAGAGTGGACAACGCAGGGCTAGATTATCTCCCCTTGGCTGAGAGGCGGGGTGGGCAAAGGGCTTGTCATCATAATGCAGATCTGCCCCATTATTATTTGGGGGGAGGGCTGCAGCTCAGTGGTTGGGCTCCTGCTCAGGGTTCAACCCCTGACAACATCTCCAGGACAATACTGAGCTAGATGGACCAGCGATGTGATTCGGTATAAGGCAGCTTCCTGTGTTCCTATTTCAAACCTTTATTCAGAACCATGAGGACTAGAATCTTACTTTATTTTTAGGCTGTAGAAGGTCCCAGGGTTGTCCTGGGGGAGTTCCCTGCCGAAACCCTGAGAACCGCTGCCAGTGAATGCAAACAGTACTGAGCGAAATGGACCAACCACCTAACTTCCTATGATGCTTCTGCGTTCTGCCAATGCCTAGAGGAAACTTTCTTCTCTGGTGCCGCAGGAACAACTCAGGGCTTTCTTCCTCTGGTGCAGGCCCTTCCCAAGGAGCCTGCCTCTCCTACTGCTGGCGCCGACACTTGTTTGCCCCCCTTCCTTTTTCTGCATTTCAACTATTGGGGAGTGTGTAGCAGAAAGGCGACTTATAATGTTAAGACTGTTGTACCCCCAAGAGCAGCGGAGGAGAAGAGGAGGAGGAGGAGAGAGTGCCCGGGTCAATGTGGGCACGGGCCTACCTTCCGCATGATTGCCCCCAGGACTGGGCTGGTGGGGAACAGCGTTGCCTGCAAAGGGCTGGACCCGGGAAGCAAACAGCTGATGTATTCTTTGCAAGGCCAGGAACTTGATCAGTTTCTCATCCAGCATGTTTATCTCAATCTCTGCTGACATAAAAGAAGAAGAGACGGTGCTGTTAAGGCGAGGTGCCTGGGGGATCAACCAATTAAACCTTGTGGAATTGTCAGGAGAAAGACACCCTTTCTTATAGAATCATAGAGTTGGAATAGACCACAAGGGCCATCGAGTCCAACCCCCTGCCAAGCAGGAAAGGCCATCAGAGCACTCCTGACATATGGTTGTCAAGCCTCTGCTTAAAGACCTCCAAAGAAGGAGACTCCACCACACTCCTTGGCAGCAAATTCCACTGTCGAACAGCTCTTACTGTCAGGAAGTTCTTCCTAATGTTTAGGCGGAATCTTCTTTCTTGTAGTTTGGATCCATTGCTCTGTGTCCGCTTCTCTGGAGCAGCAGAAAACAACCTTTCTCCCTCCTCTATGTGACATCCTTTTATATATTTGAACATGGCTATCATATCACCCCTTAACCTCCTCTCATGGTGCTTTCCTGATAGGCCTAGGGCCACAGAGACACAATACAAGCAGACCTAGCATTTACCATGGGTCCAGCTGGGTCACGATCCTGCCTTCCAGGCCTGGGGGAAGAGGCAAGAGGCAAGCAGGCGATCTAAATGTTAAAATATAGTTCCATTCCACCTTAAAAGGGTACAGGCATGACGTTTGTGTATCACATGCCTGTTTACTCCCAGCACTGTCTGCTGGGAACTTCCGTTGTATGTTGCTTTTGCTATACTGCTGTTTTGCTGGAGACGAAGGGATGCAGACATGTTTTCCTTTGTTCCTGAACTATGCTGTATATAATGCTTACATCTGCCTCTGTCCACCTCATCTGCTGTGTGGAGATTTACACACTCTGCTGACAGAGCGTGCGCGGGTCTCTAAGCGGATCTGAGGCTCGTGTTGCTAACTGACTGATGCTGTTCCACGGGAGACTGGTGATCGTCTGGAGCCAGCTGGGGGCCTGCCTGGTGCCCCCGTCTCCCCGGCAGTATCCCAACACTAAATGCACGTCTGGCATCACCAGCGGGTGCAGATGCCTTCATCAAGAGGGTGGCAAGGGGGGACGGGACACAGCAGCTTGGTCAGAGAGAATCAAAAGGGCCACACAGGAAGAAGAAGAGGAGGAGGAGGAGTTTGGATTTGATATCCTGCCTTTCACTCCCCTTCAGGAGTCTCAAAGCGGCTCACATTCTCCTTTCCCTTCCTCCCCCACAACAAACACTCTGTGAGGTGAGTGGGGCTGAGAGACTTCAGAGAAGTGTGACTGGCCCAAGGTCACCCAGCAGCTGCAGGTGGAGGAGCGGAGACGCGAACCCAGTTCCCCAGATTACGAGACTACCGCTCTTAACCACTACACCAGACTGGCAGGAGGAGCACTGCTGAGTTAGGAGGCCCCCTGGGGACATCTGCGGATGTCGTCACCCCAAGGCCAAGAAGAGGAGCTCCCTGCCTGCTTGCCTCCCCCCTTCGTGGCCTTTGTGCAAGGACTCACCTCCGCTGCTGTCCATTAATGCTTTCAGGGAACTTGCGAGGTCCAGCGTGGCTGAAGAGTTGGGAGGGAGCAACGAGGGGGTGGTTAAGATACTTCCTATGGATAAGGTGCTCGGGCTGACCTTACCGTCTAGAAGGAGGAGCAAAAAGAACTGCTGGGTCAGGATTCACAGGCACCCCACAACCATTTCTATATCTATATTTATATTGCGCAGAGTCAAAACACATTGGCTTCAATGGTGGGTGGGATTTCAGAAAGCTGATGGAAGTTTTGCTTTTAGTCTATTATTTCAGCTTTTTGGAAGTTTTAAATTATTGTTGTTAAATTTTCTTATAATTTCAGCTTTTTAATATTTCTGCAAACTGCAGTGAAGGTTTCCAGTTTTTAACCATCAGGCGGTGTATAAATTTTATGAATAATAAAAAAAGGAAAGCAGCGGCAGCGTCCCCCAGGACTCAGTCATTCCCGCTGCCCCTTTTAAGGCAGGGCTCCCAGAGACCCCCGGTTGCCCTGAAGCCCCCCCCACTCTCACCTGGAGGCGGTGCTGGCGAGCAAAAGCCATGAGCAGCTCCGATGGCAGAGACCCCGTCACCCACCGCTGCCGCTTGGGGAGGGGTGAGCGCCCGGGTGGCAGTGAGAGGAGAGTCCATCGCCCCCAGGTCCGAGGCCAGCAGAGGCCCAACCTGCGTCTGCACGTTCTTCCTTTGCAGAGTGCTGGCAGCTTCCAGGCTGGCGCAAGAGTTCGGGATGGAGGCCGGCATGCCTGCCGTTGGCACGGAGCCCCTGTGTGTGCACGAGATTGGCCCCACCGCGTTCTCGGTCTTCACGACAGCCCCCGCCACCATGTGATTGAGGAGCCCGCAGGCTACCGGTGGGGTGGCAGGCCGGGGCCATGGCTGCTGCCGCTGGGACAACCCCGGGAGGGCGCCGCTGCCCTGCCCAGCAAGCCTCGGGGAGTCAGTCAAGTTGGCAGAAGCAGAGTCACTGTATAAATGCGGCCCGTTGATTTTCACCTCCGTGGGGGCGTTGGGGCCGTTGGACGTTGCGCTGCAGGGAGACACTTTCTTGGGCCTGTCCGTACACGAGGGGTAGTGGGCGTCCTCCTGCAGGGAAGACCCCAAGGAGTTCTGAGGGGCAATGCCAGGTGGGCAGGGCGCAGAATAGAGGGGAGGGAGGCTGGCTTTGTCCGCCACCTGGTAAGGGCCGGCCAGGGAGCCGTCGGCCACGATCACCGGCTTGACGTCTGCCTTGTCCGCCTGCTCAGAGTCCCAGAGCGAGGGCATCTGCTTGGCAGATAAGTGTCTCAATATGCTGCATTGCAGAGCGACGACGCTGCACAGCCACTGGAAGGAGAAAGGAATACGGAGTGAGACACTTAGGAGAGGAAGTCTGCAATGAGCGCAACGCGAGATCCTCAAAAAGGACACCTGAATGGCCCTGCTGATATGGCTAGTGGCCCATCCTTGTCCAACCAGATGCCCCAAAGGGAAACCCACAGGCAGGACCCGAGCACGAGGGCAGCACTGTCCCTTCTGGCAACTTCCAGCACCCGCTATTCAGAAGCATTGTTGCCTCTGACTCTCTGGAGGCAGAGTATAGTCATCATGGCTAGTAGCAATTGAGAGCCTTCTTCCCATAAGAACACCAGAATGGCCCTGCCAGGTCAGGCCAATGGCCCCTCTGAGTCAAGACCCTGTTCTCACAGCGGCTGGCAAGATGCCTGTAGCAAACGCACAAGCCCAAGGTCTAAGGCAGGCAAGGAGGATGAGCCAACGACCCCGTGGGCAATCCTGGAACTGTCCTGCGTATTCCAAGCAGGCTGCCCGCATCCAACAAAGTCCCCTCAGGCTCCTCAGTCTACTGGAAGGATGGCCAACCCACAGCTCCAGAGGGAAACAAAAGACCTTTGCCATGGAAAAAAGACTGAATCTGCAACAGATCTGCACAGCACGGATGCGATATGAGTTTCCCCAAAGAGGTTATCTGCCCTGCTTCCGACCCAGACGCCAGCTTGGAGACATCTAAACATGCAAGAGAGAATGCCTAACAGACAAGGTGCCTGATGGAGAGGTGCTCAGGGCTGCTCTCAGCAGAGCCAGGGCCAAGCGCAGCCAAGCTGAGAGTCTGCTGGCCTCAGAAGGCAGCATCCCTCTATTTCGAAGCTGGGGGCGGGGGGCGGGACCCTCCTTCGGCAGGAGTGCAGCCCCTCCTGGAGAGAGGCCTCCGCCCCGGGCCTTTACCTCTTGCTGCTCTGACTGGGTGGCTAAGTGCTCTGGGCTGCAAAGGTGCTTCAGTGAGGGCTCCTCAGGGACCCCGTTGCAGATGAGCTCCCCGTCTCTGATCGCCGCAGGGGCCAGCAGCGAGGGCGGGATCCGATACTGGGACTTGATGGCATCAGGAACCTGAGGGAGGGCATCGGAGAGAGAGAGAGGAGGGGCAGTTAAACCTTCCCAGCCTTGCCTTTGGGTCAAGCCTGGTTAAAGAGCAAGCCAAGGCCTGCAAGCTTCAAGAGGAAAAGCTGTTCTCTGCGCAGGCAAGGCTGCCACCTCCTGGTGGACTCACGCAAGGCAGCTTCACCGAGGAAAGAGCCTGGCGCCTGGAAGTCCGCAGGAAGCTCAGAGGCCAGCCCAGCCTCCCCTCAAGCCCCCTGCCTCTCATTCAGAGAGACAAACACAGCCCCCTCCCCGCTGACCTTCAGCCCCTTCCTCTTCATGGACTGCACCACGCGGCGGTTGGGGGGGTGCTTCTTGTGGACCCGGTTGAGGAAGTCCACCTTGACCACGTGCTGGGAGATGGTGTCCTGGAAGCGGTCAAACACTCGGCACCGGTTGCTCAGGGTCATGTTCTTCTGGTTCAGCTGGAAGAGAGGGGGGGGCGCTCATTACAAAGCCCCCAGGTCACAGCAGCAGCAGCGACATGGGAGCAAAGCGGGAGGGGAGAGACTCTGCAGGCCCCGGAGGGGAAGGCCAACTTACCACCACGTGCTCAATGTGGTTTGGACACATCCAGCGGCCCAGGGGCATGGCCGTGAGAGGGGGCTCCAGGCAGTCCATGTGGAAGAGCAGCGGGCAGTAGTCGCACTGGATGAGCGGGGCCACGCGGCAACTCCTGGAAGGGGGAGGGGAAAGCGCCATCACTACACAGAGGAGCGAAGAGAAAGGGAACTGGCGGACGACAACTTCCATCTGCCCCAACATCAAGGCTGTGCTGGCTGGGGCTGATGGGGGGTTGTAGTCTAAAACCCCAGGTGAGGGAAGGCAGGTCTGCTCTGACTGGGGTCAGCAGGTCTCCAGGGTCTTGGGCAGGAAGAGGTTATCTCCCATTGCCCTTTAAGCTGAAGATGAAGGGGGAGGGGGACTGAGCCTGGGGTCTTCTGCATGCAAAGCAGGTGCCTGGCCCCCCGAGAAGCACGTCCCCTGGAGAAGGATGTGCCCATGATCCAAACCCATGACCTCCAAACGCCTTAAGTGGGAATCCTGCTGCATCCTGCCCGCAGCCAGGGGAAAGAGTCAGCATAGCCAGGCCAAGAGGGAGTGCAAGAAGTTCCACAGTGCTGCCTAAGCCTAGGCCCAGTGGGGACACGGCCTGCTCTGACTCCCATCTTGGCCAAGAAAGCTGGCACAGAATGCGGTTACAGCCCCCTGCCCAGCCCTGCTTGCCACACCCATACCTGCTGCACGTGAAGCAGACTTTGACTGGCAGGGGGACCAACCCGTTGTGGTCCAGCTCATGCTGTGCTTTCTTGACGTTCTTCCCAGTCGTCTCCTCCTTCCTCCTCCTCTTACTAGTACCTGGGTGGGTGGGGGGCGGGAAGACAGATGGAAACGGCCCTGTTATTCCTCAAACGGCTACACCAGTGGTTTCCAAACATTTGTTGCATCCCTGCCCCCTTGGTTCCATAAACTGATTCCCACTGCCCCACGCTAGGTAAAGGTAAAGGTACCCCTGCCCGTACGGGCCAGTCTTGACAGACTCTAGGGTTGTGCGCCCATCTCACTCAAGAGGCCGAGGGCCAGCGCTGTCCGAAGACACTTCCGGGTCACGTGGCCAGCGTGACATCGCTGCTCTGGCGAGCCAGCGCAGCACACAGAAACGCCGTTTACCTTCCCGCTAGTAAGCGGTCCCTATTTATCTACTTGCACCCGGGGGTGCTTTTGAACTGCTAGGTTGGCAGGCGCTGGGACCGAACGACGGGAGCGCACCCTGCCACGGGGATTCGAACCGCCGACCTTTCGATCGGCAAGCCCTAGGCACTGAGGCTTTTACCCACAGCGCCACCCGCATCCTTGCCCCACGCTACCCTACTAAAAATAATGACTCAGAACAGCCACTCAGCTAAGGAAGATTAACAATTGACTGCACTTTTATTCAAAGTCCAATCAAAACTATTTTGTTTAATTAATTCAAAAAGTCCTGATGAACTTGATCCAGTGATACTAGCTTTTCAACATCTCAAGAGTCGTTTACACCTCCATCAACCCCCTGCGGCCCGCTTGCCTCCTAAAGTGCCCCTGCGCACGGCCTCTGGGAAAGACCTGCCCACTTTGGGAACCACTGAGCCAAACTCCCACTCGTGGAAGGACATGAGAGTCTTGATAGGAAGAAGCCCTGCCCAAAGGGGTGATGGGCCCCAACCTGTGCTGGGCTACCCATGCAACCAGGCATGGAGTCGCAAGGAGTTTGCAATGGCAATGCCCACAAGCTAAGCCAAGCAGCCCAGGCCGGTCCAGCCTCTTCTGGAGCCCCCCGGCTCCAGCTTCTCCCTTCTACTGGCGCCTGTGAGGAAGAAGGGGAGGTCTGCTGCTCACCTGGAAGTGCGGTGGTGCAGGTCAGCTCGTTGGGCAGCTGGAACTGGGTGGGGTTCCTCTCCATGGCGGCGGCGATGAGCAGCTCAAAGGGCCGCTTCAGATGGGGCTGCCCGCCGTCTGCCTCTGCTGCAGTGGCAGAGTCATCGTCCACGTCGATGATGTCCTCGTCCACGTCGTTCTGCTCCGAGTTGGGGGTCTCGGTGCTGGCGCTGGAGGTGGGCGTGCCGGGCCGGCTGGCCCTCCGCTCTAGGAGCCGGGTGTGGGAGAGGGTCCGGAGGACGCCGCCACTCGCCCGGTCCAAGAAGTCCGCTGCGTCGCTGGTGGGGGACGTGGTCCTCTTCCCGGACTTCTCCACTAAGCCATTAACGTGGCCCAGCTCCTTCTTCTGCTCCCGCTTCTGCAAGGCACAAAACAGACAGGCAGCCTTAACTCAGCAGCCCCAGAGCAGCCGGAGGAAGGGAAAGCATCACCTTCACTGGACAGTCCAAATCAGCGGTCAGTGGCCAAACAACACCCCCCCCGAGTCTCTTATCTGGTCCCTGCAACTCGCTTGGGGCAACACCCCAAGCGCCTGCCTGGAGATGTGTCATTGAACTCTGATCATGCCTCTTGCTTGGACGGATGGAGGACAGAGAGGAGTACTGTACTAAGGTAGAATTTATATTTAATCTTCTGCTTGCTTTTGTCCTTGCTCCTGCCCAGGACTGGAATCTGGTGCTGGAAGGTTGTCTGGAAGGGAATGGGACCCCTCAGGCTGAAGAATGACATGACTTTTATTGGCTTACAGTGGGGCAGTATCCAAAGTTGGGCCTACTCATCGACTCGGGTCCATTGAAATGAGCAGATGTGACTAACTTGGGCCTATTCTTCTCAGTGGGTCTCTCAGGAGCAGAACTTAGCTGAATGCAACCCATTATTTCTGCTTGTGTCCAACTGATTGGGGTGCAGTGTGGGGAGAAGCCTTGCAGGAATAAAACTACTTGGACTGCTTGAGATTTATTTTAATGGCTGCATTTATATGCCACTTTCCCCTTCAAGGAGCTCAAGGCAATGCACACAGTTCTCCTCCTCATTTAACCCCCACAACAACCCTGTGAGATAGGTCAGGCTGAGAGGCAGTGGCTGACTTCCAAGGCCACCTTGCTCCCTTGTCCTGACAAAAGGGTTCAAGTCATTTAAAGGGGAAGGGGGCCCGTGCTATTCCTGCCTCAAATGAATTCCCTGGAGTGGCACGGCCCTGGCGTTTGGTTGAGTTGCAAGCTTGGTCATTCTGAGCTGCCTGCTGGGCTCAGCAGCTGACCAAGTGGGCCGAGGAATGAAAGGACGGCAGGCAGGGGAGGTAGGTCAAAAGGACCCCCCTAAATACGGGGAAGCAATGGGTGGCTACCTAGGCCCTGAGGAACACACAGCAAAAGGTCAAGCCTAAGAACCATAGGTCCTATCAGGTCAGGCTCTTTGCCCATCTAGCCTGGCGGGGTCTCCTTTGACTGGCAGCAGCTCTCCTGGGCCTCAGGTTGAGGTCAGCAGCTGCTACTTTGGGGTGGCGATTATGGGGCTGCCCAGACGTTGCAGCCCCCAGCTCCCTCCATCGCCAATGCACAGGGAAGATGGGAGTTGGGAGTCCAATCTTTGAAGGGCCACAGCAATCCCTGCATTACCGTATCCTTTTAATGGGAGATGCCAGCGCTTCTGCCATGGGCCCTTCTGTCATACATAAGAACATAAGAAGAGCCCCCTGCTGGATCAGGCCCATGGCCAGCCTAGTCCAGCATCGTGTTCTCGCAGTGGCCCTCGAGATGCCTGTGGGAAACCTGCAAGCAGAACTCAAGCACAAGGGCACTCTCCTTTCCTGTGGTTTCCAGCAATTGGCAGTCAGAGGCATTGCTGTCTCCAACTGTGAAGGCAGAGCATAGCCATCATGGCTAGTAGCCATCGATAGCACTCTCCTTCTTAAATCTGTGCAGTCCTCTTTTAAAGTCAACTAGGTTGGTGGCCATTAAAAGGTAAAGGTACCCCTGCCCGTACGGGCCAGTCTTGACAGACTCTGGGGTTGTGCGCCCATCTCACTCAAGAGGCCGGGGGCCAGCGCTGTCCGCAGACACTTCCGGGTCACGTGGCCAGCGTGACAAAGCTGCATCTGGCAAGCCAGCGCAGCACACGGAAACGTCGTTTACCTTCCTGCTTGTAAGCGGTCCCTATTTATCTACTTGCACCCGGGGTGCTTTTGAACTGCTAGGTTGGCAGGCGCTGGGACCGAGCAACGGGAGCGCACCCCGCCGCGGGGATTCAAACCACCAACCTTTCGATCGGCAAGCCCTAGGCGCTGAGGCTTTTACCCACAGCGCCACCCGCGTCCCTTGGTGGCCATTACAGCTTCCTTTTACCACAATGGTTTTTTATTTTTTAAGAACAGAAGAAAGGCAGAAGCTAGAAATCCTACACTTGGGATGGGGGGGGGGGGAATCGCTGGACACGTGAGAAGCCAGAAAATCCCTGGACTTCGAAATCTCTCTCTCTCTCTCTTTCACCCAGCCCTGCCAGCAGCTCTTTCCCTCTTCAAGCACACCCTGAAAGCTGGCAGCCCCAGGAGTCAATATTTGCATTCAGCTGGGCCGCCCTGCTAGCTGCAGGAAAGGGCAGGCATCTCTGATGACAAGTTGGAGCCTGGCCCAATAATCGCCTCCCTGGCTTTGGCGGCGGGAGGGGGGGGGCCAGCGTACCTCATCACTGCTCCCCCTGCTGCTATGGAAACAACAGGAGGTCATTCCATTCTCTCCTCTCCCAAGCTAGCTGGAAGGAACTGGGGAGGCTTGGCAATGGGAGCAGCTGGCCTGAAAGAGGGAGAGGCCTGTGCCGTCACAGCCAGCTCCCCCCCCCGCAAGCAAGCACACGCGCACACACACACACACACACAACCTGCAATTGGCTTAGCAAGGCAGGGAATGTGGCTCCACCAAATTAGCTTGTCACAGCTATGCCAGCGACTTGCACATTTGGCCATGTTCTGGAGAAGCAGATAAAGAAAGGAACGGCTTTCTCATCACCCTCCCTGCCAGGCTCAAAGCATGAGTTAATTTAATCTAGCTTTTCCCGAAGATTTGTGAAGCATTCCCCCCATTGCTGCTTGAGAAAGACAGGTGTTCATAATGCGTTGGGAATTATAAAAGCTATTTTTTGGTCTGTGGCAGCTGTATGTCCTCACACCCGCCCCTCCTGAACAAATCTTTCCCCACAGCTGTTTGCAACCCTTTTGTTCTTTCCAGAGAAGGAAGAGGAGAAGAAGAGATTACATCCGAATGCCCAGAAGGTCCGTTCATTCATGGGCGGAGGCGTCTTTACCTTCCGGCGCACGGTGCAGCGATGGCACATCCACTCCCCGGGAGGCAACATCTCCTCGCTCAGCGGAGGATTACTGGGAGGAGAGAGGGAAGAAAAGGAGGCTGTTATATTTCCAAATGGCAAGGACATGCAAGCCACACCTTCCTTCCATTTAGGCCAGTGGTGGTTGAGAGCCCAGGGCCCTACAGTTGTTGCTGGACTGCCATGACCAGGAGCCAGCCATGGCCAAGGGCCAAGCATGAAGAGGGGAGCTGGGAGTCCAGCAGCACCTGCAGGAAGGACACAGGTTCCTCAGCCACGTTTCTTTCACTTATTAATTAGTAAAAATTATATACTGCTTGCTTGTTAAGGAAAACAACACACCTCTAAGTGGTTTACAAAAATATGAAATTAAACATTAAGAGGCTTGATTAAAAACAGGTATTTTAAAGCATTCGAAAGATGATTTGAAATCAACAGGAGTTAAAAAGAAATGCATGCAGTTTCGATGTATCTGGGTAGGCTTTGCTAAGCAAAAATGTTTTGAACAGGTACCAAAGAGTACAGTGAATGTCAACAGGCAGGGAGTTCCAAAGGACTGGCACTGCCACACTAAAATATTGGTGGGTGTTTTGTTTTGCTTTTTTTCTAAAAAACATAACAGTGCCAATTGTGCAGATGAAAGCAGCCAAGTGGGTATTTTGAGGTATGCCAATCCCACAAGCAAAGTGACCCCACCTTGAACTTGGTTTGGCAGCAAATGAGCAACCAGTGCAGATCCCTGAGCAGAGGTGTTCTCTATGGTGGCTGGGTCTCACTCCCGTCAGCAATTGTGCTGCAGCATTCTGCACCAGCTGACCCACCACACTGGCCCCTTTCCCCAGTTACTGCTAGAGCAAAGGACATTTTGCTGTCCGTGACAGCCTTAAACACTTTGCCACACAGCTGACCAATGCAAAAGTGCACCCTAGGATGATAAAGGCAGTCAGACGTTGACAAGTTGCACCAAGGATGCATTTTCAGCAGCGTGCTTGGAAACGAAGGCCAGCCTTTGCAAATGCATCTGGGTCCTTCTTTGTGTGAGGTCTATTTGCACGTGCAGCACGAACACACACACACACACACAGTAATGACAGGTTGTGATCAGGCCGCACATAGGTGGTCCCAGTGGTGCTGCCCCACATTTGGGGGTGGGGAGTCATGCATGGTGGGGGGCAGGGAGAGAGAGATGAAGAAGTTCAGTGCTGGAGGAGATACAGCAGAAGTGGAGGGGGACAAAGATAACAAGGAAAGACTTTCAAGTGGGCCTCACGTGGAGGCATCAAGGTGGTTCCTCTCTGCCTGAAAAATCTCAAAGTCACCTTGAGCCACAATGCAGGAGGCCCCTCCACCAGCTCCCTGCTCCCTTCTGTGCTTCAAGAGCTGCTCCATGAAGAGCTGGCAGCCACCCACCATCCTGACATAGATCTAGGTTTCAAATACACCAAAAGAAGTGAATTTCAAATACCACGTTCTGCAATTCTCTGCCACCATAAGTGTCTTTAGTTGGGAACTTTGCAAGAGATAGCTGTACTTGCCTTTCACTACCCAAAACAGGGAGCCTTGCAAACATTGCCACCACCTTGAAGAACAGAGCACACGCCACAAACTCAAACACACACCGCAACGCATTCTTCTGGTCACAACAGAATGCTCCTTCCAAGCCTAATTTTGGCAGGGTGAGGCAACGCTGTGGGCACCAGAGAAGGCCCTTGTGGGCACGACTGTGCTCAAGGGCACCACACTGGTGACTCCTGCTGTAATCACACATTGTTTCTGTTCTTGGTCGTTGCAATTTGATCACAATAATGTCTGAGTACCCTACGAGTGCTCAGCGCCCTTTGACAACAGCTCTTGGCTCCCAATAAAAGGTTGCCACTCTGCCTCAACACAGGCAAAGGGAGATGCTAGGCAGGGACAAAGACAAAGAAAGACCCCAAGACAAAGAAAAAAAGAAAGAATGAAAAAGAAAGAAAGAAGCCAGCAGGTTCGTTGCAACAGCGAAAGGCGAAGGAGCAGCTGAGCTTCCGGAGTCCCCAACTTCAAAGATCACCACAGCCACAGATCGTAATGCTGGCCTCCTTTACAGGGCTGCTGTTCTAAAACGACAGAGCACAAGTGAAGCTCTCTGAAATGCAATGAAGCACTCTGTAAATGCTGAGAATTAGGGCTGCTCCATTTGTGATTGGCCGGAAATACCTACATCCAGGCTTTCCACCTCTAAGGGTCTCTAAGGAGGCACATGCAGCCGTCTCTCATTTCATTATCTTCCTTTTGAACCCTTTCCTACCAGGGAAACCCGTCCAGTTCCAGGCTGAGGCCAGGCCTTCCCTCATTTGAGCCACATGCCCTCCAGCGGCCATCTCTTTTCCCTCTGCAATGGATCCATGCGGCAGAAAGAGCGGGGTGGGGTGGGGTGTTTCACTCCTGGTAGGCACACCACCTAGGGTGGGCTAGTATTTGTGGTTCTAGAGACGGGACTGGGAGAACACTGAGCAGGAAGAAGTCAAGCCGGGTCTGTGGAACATTTGCCTTCTGCTCCAAGGCTGTACCGGAAAGCTTTATAGTCTTAAAAACTCACAGATATGCTTCTCTGGAAATTGGTCTATGGATACAGAGACATCTACGACAGGAACCTGGACCTGCGTACCTCCTGCCTACACCAGATCTCCCAGAAACTTCCTGCTCAGAAATCAAGACACATGAACGAGGCAGGCAGCCATTTTGAGAGCACAGCTCAGGAATCAGGGAGGCGGCAAGTGGACTCTGGAGTGTGTGATTGAGGCAGTCTCAAGAGCACAGTGGAAAATCCACACATCAAACCATTTCTTGAAAGAAAGAAAAAAACCAAAACCCACACACCACAGCCGGAGGGCTGGAAGCAGTCACAGATGGCCATGCCTGGCTACCTAACCTCCCATGTTTGCGTTTCAAGCAAAGATGCAACAAAACCCCTCACCCCAAACCACAAGAAGCCTGGTAGGGAGGGCGCTGGGAACAAAATAGTAGAGAGTGAGCTGCTTTTAAAAAATAAGTTTCAAAAGACAGCTTTAGTAGTTCCAGTGAGCAGCTGCCCCCTGAGGCTTGAAGGGCTTGCCAGTTTATCTGTGGGCCTCAGGCAGACTTGGGTGGTTGGGAGGGGGCAGCAGCGAGTCATGATGAGAGACTGAAGGTTGCCAGCAGCGCTGAAGTTGTTCCATCCACCAGCTTGGAGGTATGACATTGACATTCCAGAGCACGGGGGAATAAAATGCAGCCAGGTAAGAACAGGATCCAGCTTGCAGGAATTAGGGAAAACATCATGCGCCAACACACCTGACCTCCGCAGTTACAGACACCCCCCCCCATGCACATAATAAAAAGGGGCCTGCTGGGAGAGAGCAGCCGGCGCAGTCCCACAAACTCAGCACCTCCGGCATTCAGTCCACAAAGGCGGTTGAGCTGCAGGGTTACCAGCAGAAAATCTTCCCATACTCCCAAGGGCCAGCGGTCAGGCACCATCACCCCACAAAGACCCATACGGAAGAGATTTTCAAGATGTCTGCATAGGTGAACACCTGAGCTACCCCTGCTGTTCGGGGACGGGAGAATGGGAAATGGCTCAACGGTTCTGTTTCAAGATTTAGGATGCTGTGGTGCACCAATAACATCAGGGGAGAAGTGGAAAGGCTCATTCAGACCTCTCATTTCTAAGCCAGGCTACAGCACAAGAGGCCTCAGGGGCATTCCTGGCTCTGTGAGTGAGTAGCAAACTCGGCTTCTTGCAACTGAGACCCACTGAGAAACACGCAGATATTGGCAAAGTTTCCGTTCTGCAAAACAGCTGTGTGGCACCCGAACCTCTCTTTGCAGCTGCTCCTCAGAGCCTTCTGGGGGTGAAAACACCTGCAGGCAATCTAAACTGGCCACAATCGATCCCTACCGTGAAGCAGCCACCATCAAAACACAGCCACTCCGCCAGTTTCGCTGGCAGACATTTTTCCAAGCTGCAGCTCCCTGCTGTTGGCTGTGACCAGAGAAATGGAGAATGCACATCTTTTTCCGAGAGGCAGATTAATGATCAGGAAACGGCTCCCTTCCCTCCACACAGTGGTGCTCTTTGTCAGGATCCTGCCGGCACAGGGGGGTGGGGAGCCAAGGGAGGAGGAAGCAGCGGTTGTGAGACCTACTGCCTCTCCAGTTTGGTCCCTGAAAAATCCACCTGCCCTTTTAAGAACAACGCCACAATTATGGTGTGCTGAAGTCAGGGCTTGCAAAAGCTTCAAAATGGTCCCTGGAGCAAACACAAAAAATAAATAAGAAAGGGGGACACCACTGGAAATCAAATGCAGCTGACAAGAAGTTCTTGCAAGGAGGCCAAGCAGTTCAGTCTTCTCAAAGTTCAGCTCTTCAAGAAGGCCTCCATGCAGAAAAAAACCACCTTATCCCTCTGCCTCATCTCAGGGGAATCCCAGTGCTGGTAATTAGCAGCAGCTTGACTTAACCTGGCCTGCCCGCACACCTTTGCCCCTCTGGCCTAACTGTCTGAGGCGTTCCTGAAAGCTAGCAAGGGTGGCTGTGTTTCACCTCCTCTGATATGGCCATCCTCCAAAGGCTAAATATAGGCTGCAAACCGACACTTTGGGGGGGGGGGATGAAAGGCAATATTTAAATGAAATGCAATATGCCATTGCTGCCTGTGCGGACTGAAAAACCACAAACCTTTCAGAAGCATGCCGAAAGCAAGAAGGCCGGTACATCAGATACCTTCCCACAACAAACCACTACCTAACAACCAAGCGTGCTATCAGCTATCCTGGGTTTCATGCTGCCAGTACCATGGCATTTACTAACAATGTGCCCCAATCTCTCTCTCTTGCCTCTGGCCTGCTTTCAAGTAAGGCACAGAATTCCCCAGGGCGATCCAGCCAAGCTGGGTGGTTCTTCGTACTGCTAGGTCGCTTTTTTTTTACTTCCCAGGAAGCAAGCCTTTCCTCTTCCCGCTGGACACAAAAGACCTGAAAGAGCTGCCCAATACTAAGCGCCTGCTTTGCAACCAGACCACAGCAGGATGCC